CTCTTCTCTTCTCTTCTCTTCTCTTCTCTTCTCTTCTCTTCTCTCTTCTCTTTTTTTTTCTCAGCATGACAGTTACATATTATCAAATTCTTTTTATAATTCCAGTTTGGTTAAGATACTGACGACTAGCCATGATAACTGATTAAAAATTTTTTAAATAAGTTAAAGGAAGTTTTAAGCACATAATATTATTGGAAGATTTTTTTTTAAAGGCCAGGGGTAGGTCCTACGAAACAGCTTTTGTTTATGTGTAAACAACCTGTAAATATTAAGATATCTGTTTGAACTTTTCTAAAATCTTTCAATTCATTAACATAAACATGCATATAAGAGCAAGGTAAAGGAGGAATGATGATGTTGAGATCCTATACTATGTGTCTTTAAACACATAGATATAGGAACCCCATAATCATGAGCACTGCATGTGATTGGGAATACTTGGGCAAACTGCCATATAGCTCAGCCAACAACATTGCTGTTAAAAATGGGAAAATCCCTATGTATGTCACCTTGAATTCCATGGATAAAGATGGGAAACAAATATGAGATGGTACATGTACTGTGTCCTGCAATATTCCTCTTACAGTTTCACTTACATTCAACCTTTTCTTCCAGTCATTGGGTCACTGTTGTCTAGCATCTTCTAAATTTTTGTTACGCTGCATTTTAAAATTCTCTGCATTTTATCACGACAACCCTGTGAGGCAGACTAAGTAGAAATATTGTCTAGCCTCAAGTTAGCCCATGAGCTTCATGATCAAATGAGGACTTTATCTGGGGCTCCCCATCCTAGTTTAACAATCTAACCACTTCTATAGTATCATTGGTTCACCAAAACTATCCAGCAACAACAAATTTAGGTAGAGCAGCAACAGATAAATGTAAAGAGACAAGACAACTCTCCAAGAGCAGGTTGCTCCCTTTACTCATGGCCACAGAGAATGTATGAAAGAACCAAGAATATGAATGCTTGATGTATTTGCAATTTTGATAGCAAATAATTTCATCTATTTTACCCAGGCTATTTTAACAAATTCTGTGATTATTCACTGTTTCCCTTTCCCAAATATTCTAATATTTACACTGCATGTGTTACATTTTAAAGCACATATTTGGAGATACATATTTAAATTTTGGGGATATATATTTAAACATGAATTTTAAAAAGTCTGCAGATTGATATATAAATAAGTCAGGTTTATGGATGAACACAAGCAAATCAGAAAGGTTGATTTGCTCAAGAAAGGAGTGGGATGAAATATCAGGACAGGAAAAGGAAGAGAGGGGATGTCAACAGGCCAGGTTTGAGGAAAGTTCAAATTTCT